GAAAGTGCCCTGTTTTAAATAAAATTTTTGGAGCACTCCTAATGCAATTCATTTTATATTCAAAATGATTAAAAATTACAAAAAGAATTCGTCTACCCAAAATATATTTGTAGTAGACTTTCGAATGAGACTTAATTTGACCTCGTGTTACATCTTTCAAAACCCAATTAAAATGAGTAACATCTTATTACATTTCAAATGATTTCCAGATATTGTCTGAGCATGTGCATTCCCCCATAAGACATCATGAAGTAGTTGCCAAAGTTTTAAGTTGTAGAAAGAGCGAACAACTTATAAATGTAGACTGAAGTTCACAATTCTCAGTACCCTATAAACTTCAAATGGATCTGCAAGAGTTTACATATTAGAAACATGATGTTCATTATCTATCCCTATAGTCATCAACAAAGAAAGTGATGATGTTAGCGACCAAAAACTCCAACAAACAAAAGTCACTTGAGTCATCCATCTAGGACAAATTTAGTTTAATTTCAATGGAAAAAATAAAACCAGAAAAGAAATATGCAATTGCTTACCTCCACTTTTGGCTATTTGAGTCATCTGTCAAGAATTAACCAAAGACCCAATACACCATGTCGCAGTTCAATGAGAACTCGCTAGCAAAACCCTAGAGCCTACAGATTGGAAGAAATACGAAATAAGCACAAGAACAAAGACACACACAGTTAAGTAATTACTTCTTTATTCTCAATCTCACATGTTTGCTTGTCAGTAAATTTTTCAGAAAATATATCAAATGCAACTACAGTTTTGTACACCTCCGACTCTAGATGATACTTCTCAGGGCTGCCAACTTGAGTAGTGGATCTATATTGGACAATCACCGAAAGTAAAAGTAAGAGCATGTGAGTCACAACACATTTCCAATCTATTTAAGCCATCAAGCCTGAAAGGATAATAAGATCAACATATGCATCTAATGAATCCAATAAGTCGGTAACAACAGACAATATATGGATAAAAGATTCATATTTTTTAGCACAATACAAGAATCTATTCATTGGTAATTCGGCATGAGAAGCCATCAGACTGAAACCCAATTTCTAATAAGAAGCTAAATCAACTCTGTCTAAGTAAAGTTGCAGTTGTTTCTGAAAGAACCCTCACATGAATCAATCAACAACAAATATGATGGGAACTGATGAATATGATGGGAACCGAAGCGATCCAATCATCCATTGGATGTTGGATTTTTCTAAACGAACCAATCCAGTCCAATGGATGATTGGATCAGTTCGGTTCCATYTATTGGATATTCTTATTAGATATCCATTGGATTGGATAGATCCAACCAATATTAATCGGATTGGATCGATGTGACATCCAATGGACGATCTGATAGGATCCATCCAATGTTATAAATCCTATTTACAATAATTGATATTTATATATTTCAAAATACTTAATTTCATCCATTCAATCACTAAAAACATACAATTACCATTGTAAAGTCACACCCATACATATTGGGAAGTGGTAGATAGCAACATTAAGCTACTAAAATCCAAATAATAGAAATATTTCTCTGTCTTCAACCAATATTTCTACAACTTCAGTGCTTAGTTCATACTTCTAGAACAATGACCCATCAATTGATGAATCCCATATAGGGTGAATCCTAAATCAAATTATGAAGCATGAAAAAAAGGTATGATGGGAACCAAAATGAAGTAATTGATTACATGAAGATGCCTTAAATGAAACAAGTAAAAAATCTTGCCGCAACCACTGGGACATAGCAGTTTCATATAGTAAATAAGGGCTTGCGGATGTGACAKAAATGATTTTTCGATCATCACCAAGACTACAAAACGTTCAAGGGAGCAAAGAGCCAGGGGAACATTTAGGACCCAAGGCGATATACTTGATAGTTAATAATGATAATACAAATGATAGTAAATGACTGATGAAACTATGATAGTTCTTTATACTATAAAACAAGGAACTTAATAAAGAAAATTGTTTGATAATGTGCCTATTTAAGTGATGCAAAATGCACATCTATGAAGCAATCCAGTACAACAACACAAGCATGAAGCTTGTCATATGGAGATAATCAAACTTACAAAGGATTATATTACAGAGTTATCATTCTAGAAGCCTGTGCAAAGTAAAATGAAAGCAGGCCACTGAATCTCGCTTAACCTGTGCAAAGTTATCATATTAAACATTTATCATTATAGTCTCCAAAGATGAAAGTAGATGTGGAGCATTAACTCAGTCTAATACAAATCAAAACCTAAAGTTCTACTCCTAATATTATATATGAAACAGTTCTCATAATAGATCTGAAAAACGGTCGAAATACGTCCATTAATATTGCTTCTCAATGTTCATAATCATCTTTCCATCTATGTTCAGCCACCAAAATAAAAAAAAAATTTATTGATTATGAACCCTAGCTCAATATAGCCCAAAATAAAGAGGAAGACTTATGATGATAGATGAAAATTCAAACTTGTTTTTGATGGAGAAGCAGATGGAAGCAGTTCGATCGATAATAATATGGAAGCCGTTTGATTGAGAAGAAGGTGGGAGCTGTAAATCGAGAAGAAGTAGAATGGAGAAAGAATGGAAATTCGACTGGGAATCTAGGATTTGGGAGAAAGAATAGAGCGGGAACGGGGTTTGGGAAATCAATGGATTCAGGCGCCGAATAATAACAGGGATTCAGGCGTCGAATAAGAACAGAGATTCAGGCGTCGAGTAAGAACAGGGGTCTGGGAAATCAATGAATGTAGAGAACCCTAACGTTAAAAAAAAAAAAAAAAACCTTTACCTGAGATGGAGCGATGGGCAATCAAATCCGAAGAAGAATGTAGAAAACCCTAACATTGTAATCATATAACTCCAGTAGAGATGTAGGGATCGATAGAACGAACCTTGATAAGTAGTGATGATTTCAAGAACTTGAATCGCCTCTACTAATCTGGATCTCAACCATGGATCTGGGAGGCGGAACTGAAAAGAATGAACTCGTTGCCTTGGGAGAAGGAAGCGACGTTTTGGGAGGCAGAATCGATTTCTTGGGAGCGGACATTACTTAGGGAGTATACATCAGGATTTGTTTTGGGAGGCGGAATCAATTTTTTCATGCATAAGGATTGTTTTGGGAGTAAAGGGTATTTTGGGTATTTAAAATTTTAAGACTTTAAGACTTTTAGTGAATTTGCTTAATAAAGTAGTATATATATATATATATATATATATATATATATATATAAAGATTATATCAATGGATAGACAAAGTTAATCATAATCAATATTTTGGAATTCTTAATCCATATTGTGTCATTTCATTTTTCTTAGTTCTTACTTTCATATATACAAAGATATAAGATAAAGAAAACAAATGAAATAAGCGTATTGTATTAATTGTATAACAAAATAGAATATCAAATCAACACAAAGAAAATTGTAACTAAAATTAAATATTTAATTCAAAATGAATTAAAGTAATCATAAATAAAAAACCATGTAAAGAAAAAGTTGTCATCCTTTTAATTTCTTTATATAATCACCCTCAATATTCCAACATATCATCTTTTTATCAATGTGAGATGGACAAAATTAATTACAATTCAATATTTTGGAATTCTCAATCCACATTGTACCATGTGATGTCTTTTGGTTCTGACTTATAGATTATAGATGTATAGATTATATATTTATAGATATAAAGATTTAAAGGTTTATTAGAATTATTATATGTAACTTATATATAAAAAGTAAATGAAAGGTTCATTTATTTAATGATATGTTTTTATTTAAAATAATTCAAAAATTAAAAAAAATAGCAACTAATGATTTTAGCTCTCTCAAGATGTCACATCATCTTTTGATGATTCTTATTTATAAGATATATATAAACACACACATACACATAACGTAAGAAATTAATAAGCAATGGTTGCTTGTATCTTAATCGTGTAAAACCTCTTTGATAGACCATGTTTGATGTATAGACTCCATGACGATTGAATTTTTTTGGCAAGTTTAATCAATACCTTTGTAGTTCATCGTGATATACCTCTAAATAATGTCACATAAAGTTGGCCATGAGAGAACACTGATTCTGGCAGATAAATACCTACATTCGGGATCGTTTGTACCTAAGCTTTATTTATCGTCATAGAGAAGCTCAATCGAACTGGAAACTGCTTCCACTTTAGCTTAAATGGGAACATGTCATCTTCTGATGGACATAAAGGAATCCTCGGCAAAAACATCCTTTTGCTAGCATGTTGACCAACGGCTATTTCAACATCGATGATATTCTGCTGAAACCCTTTGCATATCAATCTTGTGCCATTACATAATCCATTCAAAGGGTCGATATTTCATAGGAGTATGATTCCATCAAATAGAAGTTGTTCTTATCGTATTGTGCTTCATCGAAACTATAGTAGACTTTTTCCTCACCATAAAATCAATCGATCAACTTGTCATTAATCTCATCGATATTGTTATTTTTTGTCAATAATATCGCCCTAGAAATTATGTAATCTGATGCAGCTCCGTTGATTTGAAAAGATGGAAATATTGCATCAATTAAAGCATCCATTGAGTTACCTTTATCATTGTAGGGAATAGTCATGTCGTCGTGTATGCGAATAAAAGTATCATCAATTGTTTCTTCATCTCCATCACCAACTCGCAAAAGAAGATCTAAAAACCATGGATCAGTCAACGCTCTCATATTGATAGTTAATGGTATTTGTTTAATCAAAAACCAAAGAGGTAACATCCGTAGGCTAGAGTCTACAATTTGTGCCCTTGTGCCATGCCGCACAACTAGCAACACATGTTTAAAATCGTTTCCCATCACCATTATTTTTCAACAGAATGGGAGCATGATCCCAATGATATCTTGCATCGTTCGTCAAGTGCCTCCACCGCCTGCCTTTTATCCATCGAGCCTTCATCCCAAAAGATTAGACTTGCACCACGAAGTAATTGAGCAGTCTCACTTTATTTTTTTATGTTGCATACTGAGTTATTATCCAGATTGAGAGGAATCTCGAATCGATAATGTGCAGTTCTCCCCCCGGCATGTTATTAGTTGCAACGCCCGATGAAGCAGTCACAAGTGCAACAAGACCACGAGAATGACCCTCAACAAGTAAAGCTTTGTACACAAATGTTTTCCCAGTTCCACCAGGACCATCTATGAAGGATATACCTGGACAATCATTCTCAACATGCCTCACAATCTCATCGAAAACAGAATTTTGGTCTGAATTTAGAGATTCACATGCTTGTAAATGTTCATCTTCTACAACTATCAAGTACTCTTCTTGCACAACTATCAAGTACTCTTCTTGCACCTCACCGAAGCCTCCATCTTGTAAATTGACATCAATATTTACCCTTGGAATATCAAAATCATTCAGATTTTTACCTATCAATTCTAGAAAAACAACGATGTCTGTGAGCACCATATCCTGGACTCATTGAACATTATTATATTGCCGCATGTAATCTTTAGAAAGTGAATTGCAGTGATCATCCCATAACTTGCGACCATCTCCTGCTCATAATAAATCAAGATCGATGCGAATAACCTTCTAAGAGCGTTAGGGAACTGAAATACGGAGCCTTCTGCAAGATACTGGATAGATTATCATCATTTTCGGTTAGTCCTATTTCTAGAGCCACTTTTCGAAATATAGGATGTAGTAAGCCATTGACCATGTAGAGATCTTTGAAGCATGTAGGGCCATTAACATGAGACAAAAGTAGATGTAAGTAGTACCGTTTCCTTCAACATGATCCACAGAAACCAAACCGCCTTCTCATTGTTCTTTTTCTACAAGGTCCTCAATACGGTTCCAAGCCTGGGCCGATTATTTTAAAATATTGTTAATAATTGTTTTACGCATAAATGTTAATTAATTTTTTTAATTACTTTTGAAACTCAAAATTGAAATACATTTTAAATAATACAATTTTCATTCTTGTAGTTTACACTACCAAACAGTGCGTTATTTCTTCCGGCTATGTCCAACACAAAATTGGTTCCTATCACGCCTGAACGAGTGTCTCATTGGCAGAAACTTGCGGTGACGGTCAAACCAACACGACTTTGCTCCGCTTCGCAACTGGAACGCACATGCATTACCCATGCAATATGGGCAAGCTAACTTGCCATGCGTGCTCCAACCAGACAGTATGACATAAGCAGGGAAGTCACTAACCTTCCACAACAGTACGACCATCATTGTGAAATTCATGCGTCGATGAGCATCATAGGTAACGACACCGTCAAAGACTAACATCTTCAACTCGTCGATCAAGGGCCGAAGAAACACATCCAAGTTCTGTCCAAGGCTCTTCTTGCCATGAATCAGCAAGCCAAGTGGAGGTTCCAGTTTTTGATGCACATCCAAGGTGGTATATTGTAGTTTGTAAGAAAAACAGGCCATAATGAGTATGGATTTGAGTTCGAGTTATTGGGATTGAAACCATCTGTACATAATCCCAAACGAACATTCCCAATCTCTTGAGCAAAAATCAGGATCCATCCTGTCAAAATATTTCCAAGCCTTCCCATCACTCAGATGTACCATTTTTCCCGTCTCAGTTTGATGATTATGGTGCCAATTCATCTCCTTTGCTATTTTCTTACACAAATACCACCGTTGTAATCTTGGTGTAATCGACAAATACGTCAACACCAAATTAGGCACCTTATTGTTTCGGCCGGTTGTCTTGTAACGAGACTCACCACATATTAGACAACTATTATGATCAACATATTCCTTATAAAATAGCATGCAATGGTTTTTGCAAGCATGTATCTTTTCTTTCGGAAGACCAAGTTCCTTCAACATCTTCTTTGTCTCATAAAAGCTACCAACTAGTTGTTCAACGTTAGGTAGCATTTCTTTTACCATAGAAAGGTTACGATTGAAGGTTGTCTTTGGTACATTACAATCTTCCTTCCAATTCAAAAACCTTGCCACTGCCTGTAACTTTGAAAATCTCTGGCATCCCTCCCACGACGGCTCGTCTGCAGCTCGTAACATATTATAAAAATGTTGTGCGTGTTGATTTGGTTGTTGCTCGTCCCACGTACTTGATGTACCGAGAATATTTTGATCCATCACCATTTGTTCAACACCATCAAACTCATTAATCTTCGTCCACTATCATTTGTTGTGGTTGTTCAAGTTCGGGTTCTAATTCACCATGTGCATACCAGTGACTATAATTGATCATGAATCCTTTTCTTAACAAGTCTATATAAATTTCGTCTCTATTTTTAAACTTTTGAAGTTGACATTTCTTACACAGACATCTTGTCGTAGATCACTCATTAGAGAAAGCAAAATCCAAAAATCCAACTATTTCAACTTGGAAAACTGGATTTATAGTCTCATTCATATTTATTCGCTTATACATCCATCCTCTATCAGCATTAGTCGACATATCTACAAATTTACGAAATTATTTGTCAGTTTAATTAGTCGTTTATAAATACAAATCCTAACGTGTGCCCAACAATTGGCAACCCATTTCTAACACAAAATACACCTCAATTTCGTTTATAAATATTAGTCTTAACGTTTACCCAACAATTAACAACCCATTTCTAAGACAAAATACACCTAAATTTCGTTTATAAATACAAGTCCTAACGTTTGCCCAACAATTGGCAACCCATTTCTAAGACAAAATACACCTCAATTTCGTTTATAAATACAAGTCCTACGTTTGCGCAATAATTGGCAACCCATTTCTAAGACAAAAAAACACCGCAATTTCGTTTATAAATACAAGTTCTAACGTTTGCCCAACAATTGACAATCCATTTCTAAGACAAAATACACCGCAATTTCGTTTATAAATACAAGTCCTAACGTTTGCCCAACAATTGGCAACCCATTTCTAAGACAAAATACATCTCAATTTCGTTTACAAGTCCTAACGTTTGCCCCACATTTGGGAACCCATTTCTAAGACAAAATACACCTCAATTTTCTTTATAAATACAAGTCCTAACGTTTGCCTAACAATTGGCAACCCATTTCTAACACAAAATACACCTCAAACGAATTACTTGTTTCATTTTCGAAAACCAAGTGGAAGTATAGATCTCAATGCTTTAATCTTGTATATATACATATACAAGATTCATATATACATTC